TTTATTTATTTTTTTTTTTTTTTTCATTTCAAACTAAATTCTAAACGTAAAAACATATTTTTCGTTTAATAAGTAACTTCAAAATGAATAATATAAATGATTTCATTTAAATAACGATTACAAAAAAAATTTAGTTTGAACTGTGCAATGAAAAAATAACTTTGTCTTCAATATCATTACTACGTTGAATATTTTATCAATATTTATTCAAATACCTAAATGAATATTTCTCAACTATAATAAATTCAAATATAACCAGCATATTTCGACTTTAATGAATAGAATTATTTCAATATTATCATTTATCATAATTAAAATATAAAACAAAAATTAATTAATATCAAAATTAAATACGTAGCAACTTAGCAACCTAATAATGTCAAATTTTTATGGTTCGATTAATTAAATAATTTTTTTTTCTATTTTTCAATAACATAATATTACATTAATAAAGTGAAAACAAAATTAAAAACAAATATTCGACGTACACATGACGGTTAAGTCTATTAGTTAGATTCGAGAATATAAATTTTGCGGAATTGTCACGGCCTCCGCATGAATCATAATCTCAAGGGCGCCTGACCACGAGATACTCTTTTTTTTTTTTTTTTTTTTTCTTTAAATTCAATTCTATCATCGGTAACTTTAAATATTTAATTCAATAATATAAGTAATGTAAATGGACAACTTTTGATTTTATTTTTGTTTACTAACAATCATACATATTTTTAAGCATATAACTCATAAAAATCACGATTTCTAATTGGTTTGTCGTAATTGTAATCAATTTTTCATAAAGCGCATAAACATAAAAAAAAATTAACTAAATTAAATTTTATTTTCGGTGTTAATTTATGTAATTACTTAAAGTTTTAAAAATAGTATCGAAAAAAGTAAACAAGTTTTATCGTATTTAAATCAATCTGTCAGATACACTCGCCGATTTCATTCAACTCGTTCTATTCTATTCTATTCTATTCTACTTTATTTAAATACGCCGAGTATTATGGTAATAACAACATCAACAACAACAAAACTTATAAGAATTAGTAAAATAATAATATTTTCTACTTGACCATAATACACCATTATAAGTAATGAATGAGCAAACAAATATGATTAATAGAAATTCAAGCTTATTAGATCAACCATATCATAGATGCAGTGATTGAATAAATGAGTGATTTTTTTTAATTTATGCACTTATAAGAATAAATTGATTATCTAAATAATATTTACTCTGAATTTTTATTAATTCTAAGTGATTTCCAACACTTTTTGTTGGTTTCGTTGGTTATTACACCACTTATTCAAAGTCAAACTTTACAGTTATATATTTTGCATATTGAAAAATATTTATTATTTTAAAATTACAGAGCTTAGAAAAAAATATTTCCTGATATAAATTGAATATCTAGAAAATAATTCATAAATGACAGATTAGGTGACCGTTTTTTAAGTATGCATATTTTTCAACTTCCCGCTTTGAAAATTAATAATTTTCAAAAGCAGAGTCATTGATTTCAGTCCAATTTTAGAATGCAAGGTTCTATCAGATCTCCATGTTTTGGGAGTCTAGGAAGCCGTTTCGACTATTCCCGGCTGGACGTCCGGGCGTGTATGTGTATGTATGTATGTATGTAAATAAAAATTGTCGTACGATATCTTCTGAACGAATCAACTGATCGAAATGAGCGACATGGCGTTCGAAAGTGTTTATTGAGACTTCGATCTGATGAGATTTTAAAGTCAATCAATCCAGCCATTTTAAAGATATTCAAGAAATAGAAAAAAAAAATATCATTTTTTTAAGTTTTTTCTCAATAGATTTTGAAATTTATGTTGAAATTAACTCTAGACATCAGAGACACTTTTTTGTACTAAAAAAACTGCATTAAATGCCGCCAATTATATTAAAATCAAACAACACGTTCAAAAATTATAACTATTTAAAAATTTTCGATTTTTAATCTTAAATAATCTCATCATAATTTTCGAATTATGAAAAATGTTAGGAAATATGGTGATCATCATATTGTTTATTCATCTATACATGAATATCAATAACTATGTTCAAGAAAATGTTAATTAAGATAGTTGATGATTATTTTGTAAAATGTACTAACAAATAAAAAATTCTTGTCAACTTAAAGACTCACTTCCTAATTAAAACAAATTTTTGTGAAGTCTAATACAAGAATAAAAAATATTTTTAATTTCAAGCTTTCAGAACTTCTGTACGGTCATCTTCTGATGTTTAGTTCAAACTTTAAAGGGCTTACGTATGCATATATGCATATATACATACAGTAACTTCTGTCAAGCTTTCTATATAAATTACCAAAAAGTTAGAAGTTTATAACTTTTAGAAACTTTGGGTTCATTTCAACTTTCGAGTCCCATATTTAATGGGCCTTGATATTTTTAGTAAACTGTAGACTGAAGAATCGTTAGTCGGACCAAGTTTTTTAAAATTAAAAAAAATAACATCGTAGCCAATAAATACTTGTTAACAGATTTAAAAATTTATATTTTATTAAATTTATGTTCAATAATCAATTAAAATAACTCATGAACCAATAGGCCCATGAATGAGTTATACTTTTTATCGACCACCTCTGAATGATATTAAAATTATAAACATATAGATGTAAATATTTCTTTATAAAAAATAAGTATTAACGATTGTCACTTTAATTGATATTTTATGACAATATTCGAATTTCAAATAAAAAATAAACTATTCAAAAATATTCATCTTATCAAATTCTTTAAAAATTTAAGAATAACTTTAAGTGAGATTGTAATAGTGTACATTTATCAAGCTTTTTTTTACTTTATTTGGTTTCAATTATATTAGTTTTTTTTTATAACCATCATCCAATTGCAGTATTACTATTTAAAGATTTCTTCAATAGTTTTTCAAATTTTTTAAAAATTAACAAAAGAAAGTTAAAAATATTAATTCAAAATAAAAAATATAATTATAGTGTTGCGAATTTGAAGATATTTTTTTATATTAAAAAAAATTATCAATACAATTTGGAATATTTTCAGAAAAAACTATAAAACTAGGTTTAAAAACCTCAAATATAGGTTTGAAAACTTTTAATAGATGATACTCAAATCAACTGACAATTTTAGAATTTTTTTCTAAAAATAGTTTATTATAAAGATAAATTGAAAAAATTTTTCATATCAATGCAATACTTTAAAATTATTTTTTTGTACCAAATTTAATTTAAAAATAAACCAATAAAAATGGTCAAGTATCTGCTGATTTCAGTTGCCTTCTATTAACAAAAAAATTTTTCAAGACAAGAAAACATGATATTGATGTCTAAACAAATATTTTTAGGTAGATTTCATAAAATCTATCTATTGCATTGGCCCTTGTGTCAAAATTCACACAGAATTTCGTTACTATATCAATTATTTAGTCGAGTAAGGCTTAAAAATGACGTTGGTTGGGAAGTTTATATATATAAATATATATGTAATATAACGCACAGCTTGTGGACACGATAACTCCCACAATTCTTAATGAATCTTTATGAAACTTGGTAGACTTATTCTATAGACAATTAGCTTGGATGAGTTTAAAAATAAGCTGAATCCATCAAATAGTTTAGAAATGGCAGCCGTTTAAAATTTTCGAAAATCTAAAAAATCACATGTTTGGTGACTTTACTAGGGAATAACTTTTTATTGAGAAATGATAGATCGTTTCTCTGCATTTCGTTTCAAAGCTTATGAAATTCTCTTTAATTTAACCTATAACAAATTTACTTTTCATCAATTACTCCAAAAGTTTAAGAAGCTGAATGTCATCTGAATCAGTTTCAGACAAGCATACAACACAATGCGACTTGTGGACAAGATTACTCCCAGAATTCTTAATGAATCTTTATGAAATTTGGTAGACTTATTCTATATACAATTAGCTTGGATGAGTTCAAAAATGAGCTAAATCCCTGAAATAGTTTAGAAATGGCAGCCATTTGAAATTTTCGAAAATCTAATAAATCACTGTATTTTAAAATTTGGCAGCGGATTTACTTTTCTGATAAACTTGAGGAATAATAATTATTCATAATATCGTAATTAAAATCATGGATCACATGAAATCTACCTTCCATCTTGGCTGGTGCCAAATGGCCTTTTATTTTTTTCTGTGCAGACAAAAATTACTCATTTTACATGATGTAATCAAAATAAATATTACTACTCGACAATATTAATATTTTCTTTTGTAGAAGTTTCACATAAAAAATATGGTCAATAATAATAATTAAAAGTTGACTAAGTGATTATGAATAGTAATTAAAAATAAAAAAAATTTCTTACCAAGAAGCAACAATTTGAGTTCCCGCCTAGCATCTCGCTTGTCCCTTCTAAGTTGTCGCTCAATCTCCTGGTTAATACGTTTTTGTTCCTTGGCCTCTTCCGACAGGCAGCACGCCATGATTTAAACCAGCCAAATCCTCACGAGGAGGTTGTCAAGGTTAAAGAGTTTGATGATGACAATAACAATAATATTATGGATGACAATTATGATGAGAGTAAAGGTGTATAAAAGGAAGAGGTGAGGGGTAGAGGTAGCGCGAGTTAGCGAATTTAGTGTGCCTGCTCTGCTGCTGCCTGTAAATGTTCAATGCAGGCGGCAGGAGGCGGCTGCTTCTCGGCTGCCTCGTTTCGCCCGATATTATCTTGATGCCACGGTGATAATGATCAATGTCGTCGTCGTCGTCGTTGTTGTTCTCGTCTTTATCTCCGTCTTCCTCGTCCTCGTCGTCGTTTTCGTAGTAGCAACTGCCAGCAGTGCACCTTGTCGTTTTATTCAACACGATTATTTCCTTTTCACTTGTACACTTTTTGTTATTATTATTATTATTATTATTAATCCTTTGTCACTTGAATATTAATATTCATTTAATTGAACAAAACTTTGTGTCCATTATCGCGATTCTCTCACTCGCAGCCAACTCCTTCATTTGGATATGTACCACCACGATGACACATCAATCACCCGCGTGCACGAGAGAGCCAATCACTGAAGATAAGAAAAAATATTTTTTTTTTTTTAATTATAAATATAATAAACTTAAAACATTATTAATAGTAATAATTAATAAATAAAATATGAAAAATATGATGGTAAATATGAAACAATAGGAGCACAGGACGAAAAAGAATATTTTTTTTTTAACTATGACGACGACTACTGCTGCTACTGCTGCTGGTGGTGCTGTCGGTAATAATTATTTACCCACATAATATCCACGTACACTTGACACACATGCATAAATATGTATTGATACACGCAAAATATGGAGTAAAAAATTTAAAATATATCTAAAATATTTAAAAATTGACACTCAAATAAAAAAATCTACTTAAACGGTTTTTTTTTTTTAATAAAAAAAAAAGACTAAACTGGATGAGAGCTAAAAGCTGAGGATACGATAAGGACGATGAAGATAGGTACTGGAGAGCGTAAACGCACGCGCGCGTATTTTCACCCCGCGCAATGTGTGTTGCCTCTTGCTCTTGGCTTTAACAGTAACTCTTATTACATTACATACATACATACATACATACATACACAAACATACAATCCACCAGCACAATCAAATTCATAGGCATAATCCATATCACGAAATCAAATGAAAACTCAACCGGTTCAATGCCCATTTAAATAAAACCTCCCTAAAATAGTTATTATCACTACATTATCCTAAATAGGGTTGCTAAGAACAAAAAATAAAAACGCAAACTAATAATCACAATAATAATGATGATAATGGTAAATAAAAATATTTATAAATATGAAATTAATGAATAATAACATAAAATTCAATAAAATCTATAGTTTTAACTTGAACACACAATAATTAAAACTAAAACTACACAACACCTAAAAGACACTGTCCAGAGACCCTTGACCACTCGGTGGTCTCTGGGTCCCTCGGTCACTATTTTTTCGACTTTTATTATTATTTTTTATTCACGTAAACTCTTTACTTGTTTTACTCGTCCATTTCATTCGTTCACTCACATCGGCTTCACGTTTACTCGGCTCCCGGCGCGGTTGGGTGTGGTAACCCACCGTGCTCTTGCTCACGCCGTGTTCGTCTCTTTCTCCCTCTCGCTCATTCACTCCCACTCTTTTGACACTACACACATACACGACAATTACATATACATACTTACTACATACGTTTATACATGTATATAGATTTACACAGTAGAGCATGGAACGGAGAAGCTAAATGATACTAGCAGTAGCAGCACCATGCAGTAAACGAACACGGTACGTAGGAATACGGGGATAAAATATCGTGAAACTCGATCACTGGTTCTCCGCACGTTCGTCAATGAGTCGCCTCTTCTATTATAATTGTAATAAATTCATTTTTCATTTAATGAATAATTATAAAATAAATTATGCAACAATAAAAAAACACGACCTATTTGTGAATATAAATAAATAAAATTAATAATTTATTTAAATATTTAACACTTTTTTGCCTTAATATTTTATTTAAAAATAATAATTATTTACTTTACTTAATAGAAACTTGTAACTGGTGGTTTTAACTTTCAAGTGCAATAGCAAGTCGGTGATACTCTGACGCTGGGTTTTTATCAACCCGGTTGTCCACGCGAATCTTGTTAGCCAAACCAGATTGACAATGAAGTGAAGCCCCGGCAGAGTTCTGTGTGATCTGATGGAGTCAAGCGGTGCGCACGTGTTCGCTAACGAGATTAAAATCGCGATACTTGCAACCGCTCCGCTTTGTTAATGGTGGGGTAATGGGCGATGGGCGATGGTGATGATGATGATGATGATGATGATAATAATGATGGAGGATTAATGTTTTTTTTTTTTTAATAATTCTCTGAGAAATTTTCAGATATCTTACATTTTTTAGGATTTTTCGCAACAAACAATTGTAAAGAAAAAAAATTTACTCATAGAAACTTCAAAAATTATGTAGTAAATAAAAATATTTGTTTTTCATTAAAAAATTCCAAAAAATGGTTAGATATCTGCTGATTTCAGCATTATTAGAAAGTTACTAATAAATAAATGAATAAAAATTACCCATTAAATCGTTTAAAACCAGAAATTTTATTTGACTCTCACATCTGGTGATTTATTCATTCCTATTCAATCAATGACAACGTTTACTTCGTTAAACTTTGATTTTTTTCGACAAATCTGAAACATTAAAATTTAGTTGATAATTATTATCAAAAAGTAAATAATTGACTAATTTTTATGAAATTGCTATAGTAGCAAAATCTGAAAATTTTTTGGTTTTTTTAAACAAATAAATTACAATTAACAAAATATTTCTTCTAATTTATAAAAATGATACTTTTTATATAGATAAAAAATTCTCAGATGTCTACTATTCACAGTCCCATAGATATTTACAGTAAAAAATAATACTGATATCAGTAGACGTCTGATTAATTTTTGATATTATTTAAAAGATAAATAAGTACTAAAAAAAATTGCATTGATAGTTTTTTTTAAATTTCTAAAAGTAGAAAAAAAAGTCATTTTAAAATTTGACAAATGTCTTTTGAATTCACTGAACTCAAATCAGATAATTTTTATGATTTTTTAGACAAATAAATAAAAAAAATTCGCTACACTGAAATTAAAGAAATTATGAATAAAAATTTTCAACAGTATATTTTTAGTTCCAATTGATTTCTGAAAAAAATCCAAAAATTTTCAGATGTCTGCTGATTTCAGTATCACGTTAATTTTAATTTAATTGTAGAAAATGATATCAATTAAAACATTCAAGTGTTACAGATGCCCATATTTATAATGAAAATAAGTATCTATAATTAAGAAAAAGAAAAAGAAAAATAAAACCCGAAAATCCGGAATATTAATTTATGAAAATGAATGATAAAAACAGTTAATTATTCTATAGGATATCATCTCAATACAACTGTTATATTCTTTTTTATAGATATTGTTTCGCGTGCGCACCATAAATATATACTTATATATATATATA